TACAAGACCTTTTTTGGTTGTCAGACTTGAATATGCAGCTCCTGAAACATTCCCAGCTCAGTCAATCCAGAAAGCAAAGAGATTTTTAGGAATTATACTTGAGCCTGCAGTGGAATACATACTCCAGAGTATAGAAACCACATTCCATTGTTGTCTGCTGACCTAAATCTCAGTATTAAATAAAGCTTTAAGTCTAAGAGACAAAGATTAATATAGTTACATCTGAAGCATCACTAAAAGTGAAGATATACATCACATCCAAGCAACTTCCTGTACTGCAAGTTTTAAGTTAACTTCTGCATACTGTTACACTCAAATTCTGACATATGGAAATATTATTTAGCACCTCACTACTTCCTGTAATAAACTGACGACCAGTTGCATTATCATTTTTACCAGAGTGCACTACAGAGTCTCATGGCTGACATTTGGTTAATGCATTATGTTTGTTCTCAGCTGTTGTTTCATTGCTACTGCCTCTATAAAGAAAAACCCATTTGTTGGTCTATAGTTAAGATTCTGCAGAGTTGCACATATGTAACCCACACTAGTTCATTACTCAGAAGACTTACAACTAAAGGTAACCAAATTCACATTCAGCTTCCTCTCAAAGTTAGGAGTTCAGCATACTCTTCATGCACCACTTTCACCCCTCAGACTCATTTCTTAACCCCAGAAGCTCTAACTTGCTTAGATACTCCCTTCAACCTCCTTTTCCTCTTTCAGTAGCTCACACATTAAGCAAAATAACCTAACACTGCACTGAAGCTATAACAAGAATGACAAAGTGATGTACCAGACAGAAGATGTATTCAAGAACTGTAACTGCTGACTGACCAACCTACCCTTTCTGTCAAAGAAATACAAAGGACAGGAGCAATACAGCAGGTACCACCCAAGTGGTGCAGTTCTCCAATGCATGCAATTTACCAGGAATGTGTTTTCAACGAATGTAAATATCTTTCTACTAACAGTTCCTAAATCACGCTTCCTTTAAGAGAAGACACCATTCAAATGCAGAAAGGTTAGCCTTCAAATGCCCAACATATAGTCCAAAAAGAGAGCCCAATTTACGTTCCATATCAACTGCACTTTCCTATTTGAAGAGTTACTAACTTGAATGACAGAATCCAGAGCAGCTATTCTAGACACAAGATTTTTGAAGTCCAACAAGTGACTGAACCAACCTGTACTGTTCTGTAGACCAGAGAAGTTAAACAATAGTTTTGATTTAAAACCAACTCAAATCGAAACAGGGACTGAGGATGCCACACTACCCCCAATATTTGGCTTTCACAGCCAACTATGAGACTCAAACCTTTGGCATAAGTCTCACCTCGCATATATAAACTTAATGCAACAAGGTATCACCTTTTAGACACAATGTTACCTCAGCTGTACAGAGGTGACAAAAGACTTACTGCTCATAAGTGTAATTATGAAAGACTAACCAGTAACACAATTGTACAGGAATAGTTATTTTAAATTAAAACAGAGGCAGTAACAACTTTTGTCAACTTCTACTTAAAGACCATTAAAGCAGTAACCCTAAATAATACTACACTCAATTTATGAGATGTGTTAACGACAACAGCAGGAGGCACACTTGACTCAGAGTAACTAGAGTTGAGATAAATATGTACAATGGGAATAAGTGTGTTTGAAGGCTAACACTACACTAACAATTTCCTTGCAGTAACTGAAGCTGAGCAGTGGCCCTAAGCAATTGCTGCTGAGCTCTCCACAGCTCCACTGTGCTCACGGCAGGGCAGCTATTTCACATTTAAATGCCTGCATCCTACATTCAAACTAGATTCAGTTACAATTTGCTTCATATAGACAGGTCACAAAGTAAACTAGCATAGTCCATCAGTCATGCCTTTGTTAGGATTTTGTTTGTTCTGAAATACTCAATTCCTTCAAATCAAATATTCCCATCATCCACAGATCAATAAAAACTAGAGTCTTGGCCAGGATCTCCTTTGCTGGAGATACTGAGAACATCACTAGGTCACCCAAAAAACTTCAGCTCTTCCTGCTTTTGTGCTTTTTTATTGTTCAAGCAACAAGCACAAGCGGCACTACAAGGCAGTTCAAAAGGCTTCCTAAGGAGCAATATTCTCCAGAGTATCAGCAGCAACTTGAAAGCCCAAGCTGCATTTGATAAACAGCACCGAAACTCCCTCTGAAAGGAGGCATACTGATATTCTCACATCTTATGCTTTACCAGTACAGAGCACATACATTAAAACTAAGTATAGTTGTATTATTCAGCATTAAAAAGTCATCCTGCCAGAGATCACCACAAAGTCTTCTGTGCTGTCTTTGATCCACAGGATGAATTTGCTCCGATACTTAAGACACCTCAGTTTAACTGAGCTGAAAACAGCTGGGATCTTGCTTCCTTCTAAACAGCAGAGATTTTATAGAAACTGAAGCATTCAAGGTATGCTAGAAGATACTTAAAAGAACATACACCCAAAGACTCCACAGAAGTACAAACTGTTCTCACCCCATTCTGTTATACATCTTGCAATCAAGAATTAGAATACAACCTTATCAACTTTGCACAAGCCAGAAGAGGAACAACTTAGTCTGCATAATCACACTAAGCAGCCTCATCCCAGCAGCACTACAGTAGCACTGTTAAGAAATGTCTAGAGAGGTGGTACACGAGTACAGAGAAGAAAAGCTCTTCTACTGCTAAGGAACGTTATTTCAATACAATTAAAAGTAACTGACAGTTACCTATCATTAGTGTAATATAGCACAGAAGAAAATCATTCACATTTCCTTAATTAAAATAATTACGCTTCGAAGGTTCACCACTCCTCAAACCACGGCATTCTGGAAAACCTATGACACCTAAGTTTCAGTCCACCCTTGTGAATCCAGATTGTACTTTGATACAAGTCACGTACAGCAATTACCAGTAACCTGTCAACAATTATATTTCCCTAGAGAAAGAAGAGGATGTACCATCATATCAACAAATACCAAGTTCCTCCTTTCATTTCTAAACACAAAGAATAAAACTGGACTTTAAAATATTCTACCAGCTGTAGAGTGTAGCTCCTTTAGCAAATACTTTTAACAGCTATGAAATTTATATTATTGTTTCAAACTTGTAATTTCATACAGTCTCCTTACAGGAAAATTACAGCATTCAGAACAATCTAACCCACAAGGCACTCCTGTTATGTAGTTAATCTCCAACCAAAACATCAAATATTTCTCCCTTACAAATATCTTCATTCACGCTTTTTGCAATTTTAAATACCACTCATTAAATTCTTCAACCAATTGAAAGCTCACAACATGCCTTTTATAAATGAGCTTCTTTATTAAATTACTTCAAAGAAGGTGCTTCTTTCGACAGTTTGTCCACATGGTACTAATGATGACTAAGACACCTCAACAGAGGCAATGTTAGCAAAAAGTGACTTATGCCAAGCTGACATTAGTTTCTGATCAGTAAGTTTAAGTGTGAACATTAAAACAGATTTCAGGGGTTAAAGTCAAGAACTCAAATATTACAAAGTTTAAAATTTCAAATAAAAGTAATACAATTTTGGCAGATTATTAATCTCCTCTATGGTCAAACTGCACATAAAAATCTTAAGCAGAGCTCAACAGTGGATCATTTTGCTTTTTTAATTTAAGACTAATGCTCAAAAGACCACCACAGCAAGTACATAGCTAGCACGGATGAAGAGGGCATGCTTAAGGGTCACAAAGAAAACTGGAAGCTTGCTTCCGCAGTCAGCAAGCATTGAATAATGGCAATAACATAATGAATCAAGATACTGGTAGAATGCTTGAGCAATCATCCAAAAGCAGTATGAATACAAATCAAGAAAGCTCTTAAATTCTCTCAGTCTGACTGGAATAGATATAAAATAGCTTTTGAGAGGAAGGAAGTTTTGGTGCAGCTACTGCAATCAGTCATTTCTGAGCACGTAACGGCTTAAAAAACCCCACAAAGACTTCTGGGATTTTGACCCAATGCTCTTTTGTCTGCCCTAAACTGGATAGGAAGCACACACAATAATAAAGCTATACTATATGAATCACATCAAAACCCAACACTAAAAAACAAGCGCTATCCTTTTAATGTAATGCTGAGGCTTTGCAAACAAACTAGTACATTAGGTATTTGTTCCTGGTGCTCCAAGTTCTTCCCACTTTTTAGGGTCCTTCCACAGCAACCTGCATCTCAGCTATACAAGATCTGGCTCACAGGGAAGTAAGGGTGTTCTTGCCATTGTCAGACCAGGCTTCTACAAAACTCTGGCTCTGCTCAGGCTGGAAGAGCAGTGTCCTAGTCCAGTTTAATCCACCAGTCATTTGGAAAGGTTGGCTTTTTTTGTTTTGATTTGTTCTTTTTTTTTTTAAAGCTTCAGAAAGGAAGCAATTACATTCATCCTTTCCTCATGCTGAATCAAGTATGAACCCCAGAACTTCGAATGAAACAACCAGCTTCGCAAAGCTAAACAATGTGATGTACTACCTGACTTTGAGTATATTCCAGTTACCTCCTACAAGAGCCCACTGCCACAAACATATAAAATGCCTTGTGAAATTAACATTTTAGTATTTGTTTTTCTACGTAAAACATCTGAACAAATTTTGAAAAATTAAGGCTAGCTCATATTCACATTCATTTATACACTTTACCCTTAGCCTCCTTGAAGCTATGTATGTTTACAATCCTCCAGGCTACCTTTTGGATACTATAAGAAACAGAACTATAGTACATTTTCTGATAATAAAGTTAAAAAATTCTTCAGAGAGCAGAGAATCTATAAGAATTAAAAGGCAAACTGACTCCAAAGAAAGGGTGCACCTTTCTTCCAAAGGAGTACCTCAGCTAAGCTCTGCAGTTGCCTGTCTGAATAAAGCAGACCTCGAATTGATGCGTTTTACCTCCTTCAAGCACACAGCCTAGCACCTGGGAGAGTGACTGTGCTTTGGTAATTCACAGTTTTTATTTATTTTACCTGCAGCTCGCACCAGGCGACTTCCACAGTGGTTTCTGTATCCAGTCCTTTATAGACAGTTTTGAATGAGCCTCTTCCAATCTCGATGTCAAACTTCAGGAAGCGGCCTTCTGGGGAGAAGCCCACTGCCTTGGTCTCAAGCTCTTCGATGTCTTCCTGCTGTGCTCTCCGCTCCTCAAATTCCCGGTTGGCAGCTGACGCGCTGCCAGCGGCACTAGTGGGGGGTAGCGCAGTTGCCTCGTCCTCCTCCTCCTTGGGCAGTGGCGGGGCGGCATCCTTCGCGGCAGGGGTCTCCTGAGCAGACTGTCCTTCGAGGGGAAGCGGGGCAGTCGGCGGCGGCTGCTGCAGCAGCGAGGGAGCCTGGGCGGCACTGACAGCGATGCAAGAGGTCCGGCTGACACACTCGGGAGGAGAAACCAAGGGAGCGGCGCTGCCTCCCGAGACAGGGGCCGAGGGGGCTGCGGGCTGCAAGCTGGGTAGCTCCAAG